TATGCCATGAAAGCAGTGAAAAAGGATTTTCTAAACAAATACCCAAAAGAACGACTGGGTTGTCATCCTCACAGGGGCTTTGGTAATATTCAGGAGCATCTGTTCTTTCAAAATGTGGACTGGGACATGACGGAACAAAAGCAGGTGGTGCCTCCATTTAAACCAAATATCTCAGGTAGCAGGTTCGGCTGTGCGGGGGCCCGCATGTTGGAGGAAGAAGGTCATGGTCAAGGTTTCACTGATGGGGCATATCAAGGGAAACAGCTTTTTCAGTATGATGAAGATTGTGGAGCACTTGTTGCATTGGACAAGCTAGAAATCATAAAAGATGATGACAATGGACCGGAAAGTGATTCTACAGGCCCAGTGGACACAATGCAGGTTGAACACCCCCCTTTGGAAATAAACTCCAGAGTTTCTTTGAAGGTTGGAAAAACTATAGAATCTGGAACAGTTATATTCTGTGATGTTTTGCCAGGAAAAGAGAGCTTAGGATATTTTGTTGGTGTGGACATGGATAACCCTATTGGCAACTGGGATGGAAAGTTTGATGGAGTACAGCTTTGTGCTTTTGCAAGTGTTGAAAGTGCAATTCTCTTGCACATCAGTGATATCATCCCAGATAGCATGACACAGGAAAGGAGGCCTCCCAAACTTGCCTTTATGTCACGAGGTGTTGGGGACAAAGGTTCATCCAGCCATAATAAGTCAAAGGCTACAGAATCTACCTCCGACCCTGGAAATAGAAATAGATCTGAATTATTTTATACCTTAAATGGGTCACATGGCCTGGAAGTGGGCTCACTGGCTGAAGTGATGGAGAATCCTCCTTTTTATGGGGTCATCCGCTGGATTGGTCAGCCACCAGGGCTCAATGAAGTTCTAGCTGGACTGGAACTGGAGGATGAATTCGCAGGCTGCACAGACGGAACCTTCAGGGGCACTCGATATTTCACCTGTGCCCCGAAGACAGCGCTGTTCGTGAAACTGAAGAGCTGCAGGCCAGACTCTAGGTTTGCATTCCTGCAGCCTGCCTCCAATCAGATCGAGCGTTGCAACTCCCTAGAATTTGGAGGCTATTTAAGTGAAGTGGTAGAAGAAAACACTCCACCAAAAATGGAAAAAGAAGGTTTGGAGATAATGATTGGAAAGAAGAAGGGGATCCAGGGTCACTGCAATTCTTGTTACTTAGATTCAACCTTATTTTACTTATTTGCTTTTAGTTCTGTTCTGGACACTGTATTACTTAGAGCCAAAGAAAAGAATGATGTAGAGTATTACAGTGAAACACAAGAACTACTGAGGACAGAAATTGTTAATCCTCTGAGACTATATGGATATGTATGTGCCACAAAAATTATGAAACTAAGGAAAATACTTGAAAAAGTTGAACCTGCATCAGGATTTACCTGTGAAGAAAAAGATCCTGAAGAATTCTTAAATATCCTGTTTCACCACATTTTAAGGGTAGAACCATTGTTAAAAATAAGATCAGCAGGTCAAACAGTACAAGACTATTACTTCCATCAAATTTTTATTGAAAAAAACGAGAAAGTTGGAGTTCCTACAATTCAACAGTTATTAGAATGGTCATTTATCTACAGTAACCTGAAATTTGCAGAGGCACCATCATGTCTGATTATTCAGATGCCTCGATTTGGAAAAGACTTGAAATTATTTAAAAAAATTTTTCCTTCTTTGGAATTAAATATAACAGATTTACTTGAAGATACTCCCAGGCAGTGCCAGATCTGCGGAGGGCCCGCCAAGTATGGGTGTAGAGAGCAGTATGATGATCCAGACATCTCAGGTGGAAAGATCGAGCGGTTTTGTAAAACCTGCAACACTCAAGTCCACCTTCATCCCAAGAGGTTGAATCATAAATATAACCCAGTGTCACTCCCCAAAGATTTGCCTGACTGGGACTGGAGACACGGCTGCATCCCCTGCCAGAAGATGGAGTTGTTTGCTGTTCTCTGCATAGAAACGAGTCATTACGTTGCATTTGTGAAGTATGGGAAGGACGATTCTGCCTGGGTCTTCTTTGACTGTATGGCTGACCGGGAAGGTGATCAGAATGGCTTCAACATTCCCCAGGTGACCCCCTGCCCAGAAGTGGAAAAGTACCTGAAGATGTCTCCCGAGGACCTACACTCCTTGGACCCCAGGAGAATCCAAGGCTGTGCTCGCAGACTTCTTTGCGATGCATATATGTGCATGTACCAGAGCCCGACCATGAGCTTATACAAGTAATGGGTCATCCTGAGAGGTGAAGAGACTGAACACAAAATCTCAGTGTTGCAATTACCCAGAACTGGCAGTTCTGTTCCACACCCATTGCCGGCAATAGGTATCTTTGTGTGGTGGCAATTCAGAAAAGGATTCCTGCACTTCAAAACCAATTGCTTTTGTGTTACCGAAGTACTTAATAAGCATTTTGCACTCTAGAAAGTATGTTTGTGTTGGTTTTTAAAGAAGTCTAAATGAAGTTAATTAATACCTGAAGCTTTAAGTTAACTGCATTGATTACATGCTATTTTTGGAAGCATAAAATTTTAATTGTGACAGTTTAAAACCTCTTTTAGTCCACTGAAAATACAAATAAATGCTTCTTCTTTCTGGAAAAAAAAAACCCCTCAAATATCTCTGAGCGATTCGGTTTGGACAACTTTGATCCTGAATTTACTAATGAACCTGTCCAGCTGACCCCAGATGATAATGATGTTGTGAGGGAGCTTGATGGATATGAATTTGCAGGTTTTGAGTATTTCAATCATCTTACCATGTATGAAGAAGGGGTCTGATCCCTATTTTTCAACTATGCCTTTTGCTTATGTTCCCATTTAATGCTTGGAAAAACTTGTTACCAGCCTAGGTAGAATTAACCATTTCAGAGATGTCAGGAAGCTAATTTTAGTTTATTGTTTTAAAGCTATATTTAGATGTAATACTTGATTCTTATAGTCTGTAGTAGAGACTATGGAACTTTTTGTTCAGAGATTGGATTTTTATGAACTGATTTAAATAACAATGAGGCAATCGCTTATTAACCACACTTGTACATACATTCCATTTGTTGAGTGGGACATAATGCCTAATACTTTTTCTTTTTACTTATGATACAAGAAAACAATTTGTCTTTTCAGTAAAATATCTTACCTATGCTAGTTTCTCTCCAACTACACTTTTGAAACTGACCACCTTTTGGGGTGAGTTTATGCAGTCTTCAGGAAAATCCAAAAAATACCAACAATTGTGACTAAAACCACATATACTTGTATCTTTCTTATATGAGGAAAATACGGTATACGACTGCAAGCTTTGGAAAGGTAATAGTTCTCATGAAATGGGGCATCTGAAAAAGATTAAAAGATAATTTATTAAATGTTTATAGGGCCGGGGATTTGGCTCAGTGGTTTCACCACCTGCTGCATGAGCACAGGGACCCGAGTTCGATCCTCGGTACCAAAAAAAAAAAAAATGTTTATAAGTTTTGAATTGTTCTGAATTTGAAACTAGATCATTAAAATTAAATTAAACTAAGATTGTACCATTATAACTTATTTACATTTAGATGATGATGGTTACCTTTCACATCCTTGGCATAAAAATGATACTAAAACAGAAGGATGATATATAGCATCCTAATTTTACTTAATGATCTAGTTTTAAATTCGGAATGATTTAAAATTTGTAAACATTTAAGAAATTATCTTTTTTCTTTTTTTTTTGGTACCAGGGATCGAACTCGGGTCCTTGTGCTTCCGCAGCAGGAGGTGAGGCCACTGAGCTGAATCCCCGGCCCTAAGAAATTATCTTTTAACCATTTTTAGATGCCTCAAAGCTTGTACTCGTGTATTGTCTGTTCTTCATATAATTTAGTTTGAAACTAATGAAAACATCAAAGGAAAACGTTTATAGACATTCTCCTGTTCATTTCCAAGGCGTGTACGTTTCTCTTAATGCCTGGAACTTGTTTTAAAACAAAAAGGAGAATTTATTCACAACATAAACTTACAGAGAATTCTAACATGTCTATAAAGTGTTGCTCTTTTCCGTAAGGGCATTTCAGAGTGTAGAATAATCACCCAGGGTGTTTGTTTACCATGTTTATTATTGAGCCCACATTAGAACTCTTTTGGACTTTTGAACCTCATTTTAAGAAACACTTTCTTCAAGATATTCTTTTGTCCTCCAGTTAAATAGTAGAAAGTGTGTTTAAGATGTTACAAGCAGAAATTTACAACTTTATGAACATTTTTGAACAAATTTTACATGAATGACTTCATTAGACACCTTCCTTGTTCCCCTCAACAAAATCTTATCAGTTTTCTGCCAATGATATCCAAATGATGAGCATTTTTCTTTGTTGAGGTTTTCATCATTATTCAGGGTGGTCTTTTGCTTTTCAGTTTTTCAAGTAATAAGATTAACTGTACATTTTATAGAGAATTGCATTACAAATATGTTTTCAATTATTTTTGTACTATTTAAGTGTTATGTCAGTTCTTTTCACGTCATAAAGAAATTGTCTCAAAATCCTCTTTAGGGGAATAAGTCACTTTATAGTCCGAATGGATGACATTCTGGTGTTCTAAAAAAATTTATTTTGCATAATCCTGTAGTCAGATCATTTTATGCATATGCAACTTGGATTAAATTTCAAGTACCGTGTTCAGCACTGGTATATTTACTGTATACATTTGTTTTGTTTTGATTTGTCATGTACAACACTGTCTTGGTCATCATAATGTAATGTGTGTTGTGTTCTTCTTTTTTCATGTTACAGCCTTTAAAAAAACATTTAATGTAAATTCAAAACAAAAAAAATAAAAAGAAAAAAACCAAATCCTTAACTTATATTTTGACCTTAACATGTAGTGTTGTGCCCAGATTGCGAAGTCCCCAAAGACCACCAGGAAGCCGTTTCCGATGCAAGCACACGAGGGTCGCTTATTCAAGCTCGAGCAGGGGCTCCCAACCGTCACCGACGCAGCGGATCAGAATTGAGAGCCCCGCATTTTAAACTAGCGGGATTTAAACACTAAAGTTACAGCAAGGTTTGGGGATTTTCCATTTAGCAATCACATGATTGGTTGGCATTTACCAAGCACGAAGTGTATACTTCTAATTGGCTAGGCCCATTGGGGGTTGAGGGGTGATTACGTATAGGTTTTACAAGGGAAAAGAGGGACAAAGGTTAGTGGCTGACTGTCAAGTACTGGCAGTCAGTAGACACAATGTCTAATGGTCACGACCACTATGTACTGATGGTCGGCACACTGACAGATTGTTTTACAAATAGGGGGCCCCGAACGTTTACTTCGTGGGCAAACAGATGGCTGAGTAATTAGCTTAGGAACTTTGGTTTGTTACAGATTGTATCTTTTGTCCCAGAGCAAACACATTTTAACCATTAATTTGAGAGGCTAGGGGATAGTGGAATTTAGCAAAATGGAGTCGCTTTGGTCTCACAGTAGCAAGCACATACATTTGGAAACTTTTGATCATTATCCATATTTTGCCATGTATGAAATCTTGATGTAACGCAATTATCATTATATTAAAAAACAGTAATGTGTCGGGCAAAAAAAAAAGAAAAGAAAAGAAAAAAAGGAAAAAAAAAAAAAAGATCTTCTGGGGGAGAATGATTATGCTGCCTTTCAAACAAAATTCTTAGTATTAGCATGACATTCCCCAGGGGCTGCAGAGGTATCAGGGAGCCTAAGGGAGAAACCCAGGTGAGACAGTTCAGCATTTCCACACCCGAGCCCTTCATGCAACTGAGTTGCCTGGGCAACTTAGTGTGACCCTGCATCAGAAGAAGAAAAAAAATAGAGATGTAGCTCAGAAATAGAGCACTTGCCTAGCATTAGCATGCATGAGGCCCTGGGTTCAATCCCTAGTGCTACAAATAAATAAATAAACAAACAAACAAAAAAACAAATAGTTGCATGATTGAAAGACTGTGTAACGTCTTTTCCACTGTACCTAGACTCTTCTCTTACTTAGGTAGTTCTCCTCAACATAATATGCTTAATTTAGCCAACCAAAACCCCATCAGGGTTCTACCAAAGAGAGGTACAGAAATTCACACAGTAAATGTGTGCTGTCAAGTGCAAACAACTCTTAATTAGCATTGTAATTGCTTCACCATAGGAGCTGTGTGGTCCATTTGGGGTGGCTGTGAAAGGCAGAGATGAATGCGGTACCTATCTGTTAAAACCAGGGTCACCTCGATTGCTGAAGAGCCCTGGTTTAACCACAGTTGAGTAACCATAATCATCAACAACTCTCCCTTCGGAAAACAAATTATATAGTCACTGTGTTTCTGACTGACTCGCATTTCTGCACAAATTTCACTCTTCAGCAATTTGCTGATTGTGCCGGGAATCCTGCCATGCAGAGAAAGAAGAGTAATGAGTATGATCCGAGGGTCCTGTGATTAGGAAAATTCTGAGGTAAATCAATAGTAACAATAGCACCTCGTCAGATCTCTACCACGAATACCTGGGAGACTTATGGATTTTTTTAAATTTCTAATTAAATTCTTACAGAGGAGCAACTGCTGTCATTATCCCTACATGACAAATGATGAAGCTGAAATTAAGAAAAGTTAGTTAAAATATTTGCCCACCCACCTGAGGATGAGCATGACTATCTGCACTTTGTCATTAAAACACCTAAAACAAATTTTTTTTGTTCTATCTTTGAGATGTTCAGCATCAACTGTAGGAAAGCACAGGCCAATGGGGAAAAGTGAGAAGCAATAAATGACAGAGAGAATATTATGCTCAAGTATTCAAAGGTCTCTCCCAAGGTTACATAATGCATATTGTCAGAGTTAAAAATAAGAGGGAATGGAAGGAAAATAAACATTTATCTAGCATATACAATAAGCCACTAGGAACTAGCTTTATGTCTTATCTTACTTAGTTCTCCTTAGAGCTCCATTAAGGCAATAGCATCTCTCTCCTCTAGGGACAAGGACATAGAGCCTCAGAAGTAACTCACCTGAGTTTCAGAGACCATTCCAGACCTGCTTAGGCCGAAGCCTGTATTCTCTCCCCTGTACTACAGCAATTGCTTTCAGATCCCATATCCTAGTGCAGACACTGGCCAATATCAAGAATCCACTGATTGTCTAGACTCAGGGAAAATGAATTCACAATTTCACAAAATGTCATCTAAAAATAAATTTAAATGATTTTTTTTAAACTCTGAAGAAATAAAAGTAGACTGATTCACCACATTTTCTTTATCCAATTTCAAAAGCAAATTCTCACGTAGTTGTGTATGACTAGGGAGAAAAAAAGAAGGGAGATTGTGTAAAAATACATAGTGATCCAAAAAGTATTTGTTGAGCTAGTCATGCGGCAACCCTAGGAAGAGTTCTTGCAAAATGAATTAATCTCTTCTTGCTGTTCTCCTAATGCTGATTACAACAAAATCCCCTACTGGGTGTCGAAGCCATTATGGAGAAAGGAAAGAAGTCACTGACCTTCAGATGAATGTTCCAAAGCATTGAAAACAGGGCTCATAACACCTTCTAGGACTTCCTTACTAGTTTAAGAATAAATTTCTTAAAAACTAAAATCTTTGAAAAGGCCTCTTGTGAACCCTGCTTCAGTATGCGAATGGAAGGTATTATTTAAAAAGGAAGAAAGAAAACGAGGCCCTGTGTAACTGCTGACTGCACACCCACACGCTCCAGCTACCTCAGGGATCAGGCAGGCTTGTGCACATTTGCTGACAATCGAATGCAAGCACGCTCTGGTTCTCACGCTCCTCCCATCCCTACAGCCTCCCCGCCTGGGCTCTGTCCAGTCAGTTCTTGAGGCCCAGGCCAGGCCGGCTCTCTCACACACTGTCTTCTCTCATGATCTCATCCATGCTCTTGGCTTCAATTCCCTGTTGACCCACAGTTGTGCCTCCAGCCAGGATTCTCCGAACTCTAGACTCATATATCTGTCTGCTTGGTTCCATGTGGATGTCCCTAAACCTGCCCAAAAGGAACTCCCTATCAGGCTTCTCCTCCAAGGAATGTGTCTCTGAAGAATGGGAGGGTGTGACAGTGGGGATACCTTGCTCCCATTCTCCATGAAAGCCTACAGTCATCCACCAGATACACAGCCATAATCTGGATATCTGCTTGGCAGGTCCCTCCTCTCCTCCCTCTATCCAGCACTTTATCCTTCATATTGCTTGCTTAGGAAATGCAAAAGAGCAAAGGAAATTGGAAGGCAGTGCTTCTTAACCTTTATTGGTCACTTTCCCACATGGTTAAATGTTGCTTATTTCTGATTTCCTTATTCTGAGGATTTGTAAAGAGAACAAAGAACATTAAAATCCATACTGAACTAGCACTTTCCTGAGGTCCATGAAATGTTACTTCCGAGAGATTTGAATTGGAGCTGTTTCTTTACATTTCTTTTCCCCTTAAAACAGGTGATGGCAGTGGTTCTAAGTCAGTAAGATCGTGCATCCATTGTGTTTCCCAGACCTTCTTACCTCACCCTGTACTCAGAGTTTAGGCTTCCAAGCAAATGCTCTGCTGTACTGAGGTTATTCATTCTGGCCCCAAGAAACAAGCAAGATGATTCCATCTGCATAGAACACCTTGGCAGTATGCTTTGTGAACACGTGTGATGTTGAATTAAGAAGTGGGACTTGGTTTTTGCTGTGCTTGGTATTTGGCTGACTCACCTTTTGAGGTACCTGAAAGAATCATTAAGTATGCAAGCATCCACAGCCTGGCTAGGACAAGCTTGGCTGTTTTTATCAGGAGCCCTGGCTCCACCAGTCACTTCTCTAAAAGAATGAGGCCTCTGGTCCTTTCCCAGGAGCAGCCTGATGCAGCAAAACAAGATTGCACACCAGCCTGACCCTTCACTGCTAGTCCCCTGTGTTGCAACCCGCATCTCAATGGCTGGTCCCATTGGATCCCTCCCCTTGACATTCAGGGCAGATGTGGTGGTTCCCACCTGCCAGCAATACACCTGGTCCCCTGCCTAGGACTCTAACCCCTCTCTCTCCAGACCTTGGGCTCTCTCTTTATCCCCCATGTGGGAGGATGCTAGAGACAGACACAAATCTTGCCATAGTTTTACTCCCGCTTGAAGAGACTGTGTTTTCTGAGAAAAGCCTGCTCGCATGAAGAAAGATCTCTTGTCTCCCACTGGAAGTACAAATTAGTACCTAACCAAACAAAAGCACTTTGATCCTGCACACTTCAGCCTCTTTTGGAAGAGGCTGCATGGCTGTGTCTCTGTACAGTTAAGGCCTGAGAAGTCTAAGTCCTACAGCAAGGGACCTGCTTGCTTCTCTTTAATCTAGTTTCTGATTAGTTTTGAGCATGGCACACTTTTGGCCAACTTGTCTTTTAGGGGTGCATGTTGACGAGACTGGAAAAACCTCTGGAGGACTGGGAAGAGGCTCATGAGACAGGCTGGTCTGGGTGAGCCCAAATTGTTTTCAGTTTTCAGTCGGTAGCAGCCAGGCATGGTGGCATGTACCTGTAATCCTAGTACTCTGGGAGACTGGGGCAGAAGGATTGCAAGTTCGAGCCCATCCTGGGCAAGGGAGCAACTTAGTGAGAACTTGTCTTAAAATAAGATTTTAAAAGGGCTGGGGATGTACTTCTGTATGAAGGCTCTGGGTGCAATCCTCAGTAACTTAAAAAAAAAGTCACTAGGTGAGCAGGCACTTTTAGGGACAGGCTCCTGCACTTATGGAGGAAGCTGCTGCCCCTTTAAAAGACTGGTACCATACCTTCAAAATGCTGTTCCTTTTCAGCTAAGTCTCTTTGGAGAAACTTACAAGGAAGCAGCTCAAATCACCAAGTCGTTCTGGCTCCTTTTTTTTAGGAGCTGGTAGAAACTTTGCTCATTATAATGCTACATTTCCTTCCCAAGGCCATTTGTGCCACCATCTTTCCTTGTGAACACGTGATGTAGAACCCTGAACTGCCCATGCTCAGAAATGTGCCTGCCTCTAGAATTGATAATGAGTGTTCTCTAACTGACTGCATCTAAGTCCCCCTGCTTTCTTTGTTCAAGAATGCTGCTTTTTCAAATTAACTCTAGTGCTTTCTTTACTTGCTGTGAGTAATAAAGCCTTTTTCACTCCTTTATCCCTGGCTGCGCTTATCTGCTTTGTGTTCACCAAAAGGAGAACTCATTTATTTTAGTCACAAGAACAGGTGGACTAGGAGGGCTCACCCATGTCATTTGGTGAGAGACAATCTGTAGGGAGTGACAGGTCTCCAGCTAAAGAAGTGGGTGGTGTTCAACCAGAAGAAGGAAGATTATCGCCTCTTCCTGCTACCCCTGTCCCCCTCTACCCTCCCTCTTTGCCCACAGCTTGAGCCCCCGTGGATCTACAGCTGAGAGAAGCCCAGGACTCCATGGCAGGTGGTTCTCATGAGACTGTGAATGCAGCGGAGGTCACTCAGGACCCAAAGTAACACTGAGTTAAGGAGAACGACATTGCCACCACATCCCAGTCCCCATTTTTTGGTTACAAGCGGTTGCAGCATGACTTCAGCCCTGGGCCCACTGGAACAGCCTTTTCAGGGAGGGCAGTAGCAGTTGAGAAATAGGCAAAGGGCCTGGTCAGGGCACCTGGAGGGGAAGAACAATCCAGCCCATCACTGGGCACAGAAGAGAAAGGACTATGCAGGCATGTGCAACACAGAAGCCCTGTCCTGAGGGTGGTACCCGACCTGCGATTACACCCAGAGGCTGGAGAGCCCCGGGCCTGCTGGCTCTCTTGCCTTGGTACATCCACCTTATGGTTTTCTCCTTCCCTTTTAGCCCTGGCCAGCTTTCCCTACTCTCCCGGTCTCCCTGGAGCAATCAGATCCGAGGAGGAAGCCAGCAAGCAGAGTCTTTCATATTTTATTCACACGCCTCAGTGGGTGGTGGTGTCAAGGCCCCCCATGGGGTTACTGGACACAAAACAGCTCCATTAAACAAATGGTCCATCTCAAGTCCAGGTTGTTGCTAGTAAAGGGAGTTCCCGTTCCCGTTGTCCTAAATCTCCCGGGATTGTTTACTGAGAAACACAGACAGGAGTAACAGCAGCCATGTGCCTCTGCATGTCTTGGCTGAGCCGACTTCTGCATTCTAAGCACTGTAAGTACCAAGTGGCCAGGGTGGCTGGATGCCAAACAGTAATGTTTCCTCTTGCTGTTGTTGAAAAAGGCATTCAGGAAAACAATTGAGCTCAATAAGGCCCTTCCTGTTCCGGCGGGGCGGGAGGGCCTGTGAACCACCCAGCAAACACGGAGTGAGTCAGACTGGGAGCTGGGAGCTTCCTACTCCTTGCTCACAGCTCTCTCCCAGGCAGCTGCAGGGAAGATGCAAAGCCAGTCCCCACCGCCTGCACCCTCTCACCCCCTCCCGGCAGATTAGCATTTTCAGAATCCGTTTCTCCTTCCTCTCCAGACACCTCGGGATTTCCAGGCTAACCAAAGTCAGTGTTTACACAGGCAGTGGGAAAGGCGTTGGCTGGCCATGGGTTGCCCTTCAGCCCGAAAGTCAGTTCTGCAAAGAAAGGACCACTGAGGCTTGCTCTGAGAAAATTCAAGATGCCTGCCTTTCCAGGACTTCTCATTATGTGGAGGACACAGACTTGATGAACATGTGCTTGACTAACTGAGGCCCAGCCAGAAAACCTCAGATGCCCGTGAAGGATAAATGACCAAGCTCCGGTACACCAAATATGTCCAAAACTAATTAGAATGATCAGAAAGAAATCATACCTTAAAGTGTGTTGTTGCCCTTAATTTTCCTGATGTTGTAACTGAAATACTTAGCTCCACTAACTTGTCTTGGGTCCATGAAAGAGCATGGTCAATGCTTGGCTGGTGGTGAGAGACTGATTCTCCCTCACTTTGCTCTCTGTCTCTCTCTCTCTCTCATTCTGTCCCTCACTTCCTCTCTTGGAGCCTATCTTCCCTGCTTTGAGGGTTTTATGAGACATTCTGCCATGAATAGAATGTAAAATCTAAAGGATCCTTCCGAAGGAGGGAGAGAGTGTGGGGAGAGAGAAGAGGATCAGGATGCAGTATGTACACGTACAAATGCTCCACAATGAATATAATTGTGTATCATAAACATATACTACTGATAAAAAAATTTTATTTTAAAGATTCTTCCAAGGATGACCCAACAGCGATGGTGACCTTGACACCATCCCCCAGAGCACTCAAAGCTGCTTAACCAAAAGTTACAATGAAGGATGTTAAGTTTCCAGAATCCAGTTTGCCTACTATACAAGTTTCCACTGGTCATTTATATTTTGATAAAATGACTTTTTATTCAAAGCTTAGTGACCTTACCCAGTCCACATCTATTTGTGCCTCTGATAAGTCATCTGACTTCCCACCTCTTCCTCTCAAAATGGGAATGATAATAGTGTCCACCTCACGGGATTAATCCTTGGGGATTAAGTGAGATAGATGTGGAGCCAGTTAGACTTAACGTCCTACCCGATGCTCAATAAAGGTGATTACTAGTGGGGCCAGGGATTTAGCTCAGTGGCACCATGCCTGCCTTGCAAGCCCCAGGTCCTGAGTTCGATCCCCAGTACAGAAAAAAAGTAATTAGGGGGCTGGGGATTTAGCTCAGTGGTTCTGTCGCCTGCCTCAAAAGCACAAGGTCCCGAGTTCAATCCCCGGAACCAAAAAAAAAAGTAATTACTAGTAGTATACCAATACCAGTACTAAAATGCTTTGGTACTGATGCTAGTACTAAATTAATAATACCATTAGTACTTCCAATAATACTATTACTACTCAATATGAGCCAATCAAGACTCACTGGGTCAATTATTTTGACTGGCTATCTAGTAAATTGACCTTCGCTAAGAAGGAAGCACAATGTCACACCCTAGGAAGGTACAGGCTCTTTCTTGTGCCAAAATGAAACTAAGTTTCTAAATGGAAATTGTTTTTGACGAAGGATGCAGGTGACTGGTTTTGGTTTTTGAGACAGGGTCTCTCTAGGTAGTCCAGGCTGGCCTTGAACTCACTATGGAGCCCAGGATGGCCTCAAACATGCGGCAAACCTCCTGCCTAGGCCTCCTGAGTGCTGTGTTTACAGGCGTGGGCCACCACACCCTGCTCAAATCCCATATATTAAATCACTTCGATTGATACATTGTTAAAAGAAATTCACATTATAAGGTTATTTAGAACCTTGAACTAATTGGGTCAAGTAAATGAAAATATTACTTTGTGTTACAGTGAAATATTTGCCAGATTTGTACAATTACCTCTATGTGATGTTATAATAGAGTTTTTTTGTGTGGTGTTGGTTTTTGTTTTCTGGTTTTCATCCATGGTTTCTGGCTCACAATTTGCTCCCAAGATAGATCATAGAAATTAAAGTTTCCCTTCCCCAAGGTGGATCATAGAAACTCTGATTTTCCCCCACCCTTCTGTCTTGGAACTGGCTGTAAAGAAGCCCTCTGAAATGACCCTCCCCATTCCAGAGGGTCTGGAGGAGCCAAGGAGAATCTAAATGGACAGGCCTTGCTGGGTTGCCCCACCCAATCTATCAGCAGTCCTGCCTGTGCAATGACGTCTCTATAAAAAATCCAAGAGGACTGGGTTGGGAGAGCACCAGAGAGCTGAGGGCGACAGGTTCGTGGAGGGTGGTGTGCCGGGAAGGGCATGGAACGCCTTATTGCTTTTCCCAAACCTCGCCTTGCTCCTCTTCATCTGCATCTTTTATAAGTAAGGGTCTCCCTGGCTCCCCCGTGAGCTGCTCCAGAACAGGAATCGAACCTGAGGAGGAGGCTGTGGGAAGCTCCTGGAGAGCCAGTCACTCCTTGGCACAAGAAGAACAGCTGGGCTTGCAGTTGGCATCTGCAGTTGGTGGGGCGAGCAGTCTTGGGCACAGTCCTTGCAACCTGTGGGATCCGCACCATCTCCAGGTAGACTGTGTCAAAATTAAATTGGATTAGAAGACCCCCAGCTGGGGTTCACTCCCGCAGAATCAATTGCTTAATGCGGGGGACCACACACAGACGTCTGGTGTCAGAATTCTTCTGTGTTGCTTGAGGTGTGAAAATAGACAAAAAAAAAAAAATACACAATACTTTGTTTTCCTGAGACACACTGAATTAGGCTTATAATTAAAGGAAAATCTGGGATAGCCTTTCTCTTCACCCTAAAAGAAATTGTTCAATCAAACTCATTCACAAACCCATTCACATAGTCAGGTGACAGTCACTGGTACATTTCAATCAGCCCATACAAATATTCATTTGAAATTGAGCGATTGTGGCAAATCTTGGGTGTACTTTACTGTAGAGTACATCTCATTTTAGAGTTACAATCTACATCCTTAAAAGAGGCTCGACTTTGATCTCAATCATTCCATGAAAGAAAAATTTCCATAGTTAAAAAAAAAAAAGACTTCAGCAAAATTTTGTCACTGTGGCCAGAAAATTCAAAACAATTCTGGGTAATGGACCCAAAATTCTTACCAAACGTCTTCTTGGTGGGCACAGGTCATTTTCAGCTCAGTTGGGTCTCTGGGAAACTGAACCACAGGAATAGCACAGATGCTGAATAAATCAGATACATCCTGTGGTTTTGTACTTCAAAGGTAGCCACAAATTCTTAAGGTATGATTCACAGTCATCAAAATCTATGAATGTTCTGTAAAGTTGTTCTTTCACTTCCAGTGAAGAGCTCTGTAATCCTCAGATCTATTATGCCAGGAAGATCCGGTAGTTTCTGCAGTAGATCAGGAATGTGGTAGGAAATGAATGTAGTTGTCACCTGTTCGGGCCACTTGGCTCATTGGAACCTGCATCTACTTGAACAAAGATTAGAGGGAAGCCAGAGTCCATGCCTTCTTAAACGTTTTAGGGATCCAAGAAAAAGCTATTTATTTAAAAGATATTCAAAGCCAGTAGCTTATGTCATCCAGGCTTATATGCTAAATTTTGAAGAGCCTACCAAACTACCAAACTATTCTGTACATGTGTGCCAGTATTTTGACAATTTTGAAGCTATGCTATATCAAAAAAAAAATAGTAGGTAAGAGAAACCTGTTAATTTTCCTAGCAGAAGTACTCCATTAATTCTTTATCCCCAAACAGGGAGCCCCCCAAAATAATGATCAGAGAGCCTATATAAAGAATACCATTCTGGACCTAAAAATGACAACTGCTAGCAGTTCTTATGGCATAACAAACAATACCAGAACTTTGTGCCTTAAAACAATGGCCACTTATTTGTCTCCCAAGTCTATAGTAATGGAGCTGTGCTCAGCGGTCATCTTGGTTGCTCATCCAATTTTATCTGGGTCAATTATTGTGTCTGTGGTTGGCTGCTAGGCCAGTCGAAGTACTGGTCTAGAACAGTCTCTTACTAAATAATCTCCCATCTTCCAACCAGTTAGGCTGGGCTTGTTCATAAATAGTCTGGGCAGGATACCAAGAGAGAGTACGGAGATGTGCAGGGCCTCCTGGAGCCCCAGGCTCGGAGCTGGCACAGTCATTTCCATAGCCTTCCCTAGCCAAAGGAAGCTCCAAGGCCAATCTGGACTCAAGATGTTCAGAAATCAATTTCACCTAGTGGGGTTATGAGATTCAAAGTTAAGTTTCAAGCACGAAAAATTGTGGCCACCTTTGCGATCTACCAAATGCTCACTAACATCTCCCTGATGCCACACTCACTAAACACAACGAGACAAGGGTCAAGGACATCATCAACAGAGTAGAGATTTCTGACTGGGACAGATCAGAGCTCAGCCAGAGAGCTCA